GCCTCCTCTGAAAGGGCCAGAGTCCCATGACTGTATGTCTCTAACTCACCTAGTAACCTCCCCTTCCCACACATCTCCACCCTTCCCTTTCCCCTTCCCACCCCTGACCATACCTGGCTCACTGACAGAAGTTTGTGTAAGCGCACCTCCAGCTCCCGTGCCGGGGCAGGAGATGCTGCTGACTCCCAGGATTCTGTCGTGGAAGCTGCAGCCCGCTGTCTATCCACCGCTTCTCAGCAGGCTGAGCTAATCATGCTGACCTGTGCCCTTACACTGGCTAAGGGCTTAAAGTTAATATCTATATGGATTCAAAGTATGCATTCCAGATATTGCATAATCATGCCGCCATCTGGGCATAAAGGGGGTTTCTCACCTCCTGAGGGTCTTCAGTCATTAACGCCCCACTCATTAAAGCCCTGTAGGCTGCCCTATTGCCACGTGGGTGGGAGTCCTTCACTGCAGGAGACACCAGAGACTTTCTGATCCCATAGCTGCCAAACACTCCTTTGGAGATAAAACTGTAAAGAGGCGGCCCGTTTCCCCTACCATACTCCTAAGGGTCAATATTTTGTCCTTTCTGGTGTAACTCTGGCTTATTCCCCTTCTGAACGCCAACAATATCAAGACCTTCCCACAAAAGGTGGATGATCCCTAAGTCAGGGAAAGTTCCTCTTCTCCAATTTACAGGCTCACACTAGGCGCTCATCCTTTCCTGACAGTTTTCGTACAGGTTACAGACACTTGCCCAGCCTCTTATCTGCTTTCTCCTTTGGAAAAACCTTCTTAATGCTATCACTGATTAATGCTGTGTTTGCCACTGGACCACACCTCAGGGTTTTCTGAGGCCTCCTCCCTTCCCATCCACCAAGAAGCTTGTTCCCAGCTCGGGACTGGCAAATTAATTTCACCCACACGCCACAAGTGCGAATGTTAAGATACTTCCTGGTATGGGCATACAACTTTACTGGATGGGTAGAAACTTTCCCCATAGGCTCAGAGAAGGCCTCCGCCATTACCCACTCTCTTTTAGCTGATATTCCAAGTTTTTCTTTTTTTTTTTTTTTTGCGTTTTTGAGACATGGTCTCATTATGTAGTTCAGGCTGGCCTTGAGCTCACTTTGCAGCCCAGGCTGGTCTTGAACTCACAAAGATCCTCCTGCCTCAGCCTCCGGAGTGCTGAGATTACAGGCGTGTGCCACCACACCCGGCCTGATATTCCAAGCTTTGATCTCCTCACTGCCATTCAACCAGATAACAGCCCAGACTTTACTAGTCAAATTACCCAAGAGGTGTCTAAGTCGTTTGGGGTCCAATGGAATCTGCATACCCCTCATAGACCTCAATCTTCTGGTAAGGTTGAAAGAGCTAATGGCCTTCTTAAGGCTCATCTCACTAAACTAACACTTCAGCTTCACAAAGACTGCGTTTCCCTCCTCCCAGTTGCTCTCCTTAGAGTCTGTGCCCTCCAGAGCTCGGTATAGCCCTTTTGAGCACACCTTTCTGCTCAGGCCAGACCTCAGCCTGGAGGCCAGCCCCTAGGAGATTATCTCCCAATTCTGCAAACTTGAAAAATACAACACACTGCTAATCTTCTTCTGCCTTCTCCTGACATCATCCTTACGAGGGATAACCTGGCTAACAAATTGTTTTTGTTTTTTGTTTTTTTGTTTTTTGTTTTTTTGAGACAGGGTCTCACTATGCAGTTCAGGCTGACCTTGAACTCACTGTATAGCTGAGGCTGGCCTCAAACTCACGGCAATCCTCCTGCCTCAGCCTCTTGAGTGCTAGGATTACAGGTGTGCACCACCACACCTGGCAACAAATTGGTTTTGATTAAAGACTTAAACCCCCATCCCTATAGCCTAAGTGGATGGGACCCTTCCTAGTCACCTATAGCACTCCAACAGCTGATCATCTGCAAGACACCCCCCTATGGGTTCATTGCTCCAGAACAAAACTGCCCTGCTGACAATTCGCCTGATCTCTTCTCATAGAAATCACAAATAACCTCCCCAACTTCTCTCAGCCTGACCAGAACTCCAGAAGACACTTAAATGCTTTGTCCTTGTCATTTTGTCTACTTTCTTCAGTCTACACTGATCTTACCTGGTTTAATCCTCAGACCTCTCTGGAGTCTGGAGAGAACACCTCCTTTACCTGGATAGAAACCTCCTTTTTCAGGGTGCTCTCTGTGACTTCTCTCAGAGGCGGGGGCAGCATTGTTTTCCTTTCTTCTCACTCTCCTCCAGTTCAGTGATTGGTGGAGAGGACCTAAGACATCCCCTATTTCTACTATGCCTTTTTCTGTGGATTTTACTCTCAATTCTACTGGGGACCAACTCGATTGTCTTTTGTCTCAGGGATGGCACCATTTTTCCTGCCTGCGGTCCTCCTAGCCCTAGTTAGGCCCCTCCCTGCCCGCCTCTCTACAACCTTTGGCCAGGTTAGCACCCTTCTTCCTTCCACCACACCCTGCGGTTGCAGTTCCTGCAGCTTCCCCCAAGGGTTCCTCATTACCTTTGCAAAACTGCAGTTCACTCGTTCCTCCCGGAACAGCTCGCTCCTACCTTAGCCGCAGATGGCTGGCTCTGCACTTTTATGTCTACAGCAACCTATACGGCCATTGCAGTCCCTCCCCGGCTCTGGGACTCTGCCAGCCTCACATACCATCCCCAGTGTGAAGTGAAGGGCCACTCCGACTCCTCAACAAAATGTCTATAGCCACTTTCCCTACCACCGGCAAGACAAAAAACCTCCAGGCCGGATGCGTGGCCTGACTCCTCCAGTCCTGTCTCACTAATGCTTCTGCATGTGAGAGCTCAACTAAGCCCATCCATGCCCCATAACCACGGATACTCCTCTTGCCTTCCAAGCCCCAGTTTGCACTCAGTGTAATTTGCCCTCCGGTACATTACTAGGACATCTCCCCTGTCAGTGTAACCATACGCTACTGTTACTGGCCTTATAAAATCGTGCAAGCTGCCAGGTTACTCAGAATGTCCCGTGCACTCGGCCTGTCTGCTTTTCCCGTCCTCCCAAGGTGGTGATATCACTGTTCAGTAGACAGAGGGCTGCAACAGACATTGTGTTCCATGCATGCATTTCCTCCCATGGACTCCATTCATCAATCTTCCGCTTGCTCAGACTGTCTCTTGCCTGCCTTTGATCATTTCTCACAATGATTCCTAATAGACACTGAAAGATTCTTCCTACAGTGGGTAAACAATAATAGGCACTAGCCAGATCTCATGCCAGCGACCTACCCTAGCAGGCACCTGGACATCTGGGAAAGAGAAAATAAAAGTGTCACATACCTCTTTAACAGGGTATGTTAAAGTGGCACCTGCACGCTGACACACCTTACCCCCCAAATAGACATTGCCCTGGAGACCAGAGCCTGCCTGTCGCCATTAAAACACAGGTCCAACGACATAGAGCTGGTAGCCCTGCTTATCGACTTGGGATCACTGCTGCTTCAGGGACAGGCATAGCAGGTCTAGCTACTTTTCTGACCTCCTATCACTCCCAAGATCTTCCTGACAGCGTCAGACGAATAGCTGACTCCATTTTCTCCTTACAAAACCAGATGGACTTTCCTGGCAGCAGTGACCCTTCAAAATTGTAGAGGTTTAGATCTCTTCACCGCAGAGAAAGGTGGGTTGTGTGCCTTCCGTGGGGAGGAATGTTGCTATTACCCCAGGCATTGTATGGGATGCAGCCAGAAGAGTGACAGAAAAGGCTTTAGAAATTGCACAGCACCTGTCTGGCTCTTGGACTAACGTTTGGGGCTGGGCCCTGTGGCTTCTTCCACTAGCTGTACCTCTTATCTGCGTTACCCTCCTCCTTCTCTTTGGGCTGTGCCTCCTGAGATGTTTCTCAGTTTTTCCAGGATCATGTACAAGGGATCGCCCACAGGCAGATGCTGGCTTTGACTATTCCTCAATACAGCGCTGGTCCCCCCAGATTTTCTCCCAGTTAAGCTGCCCATGCCACCCCATTTGTCAGGCCGAAGTAGCCATGAGAAATTCTGCCCACTTTCCTGCCCCTCTCTGTACATATCAACAAAAAGACAGGCAGGTCAAGCCTGACCTGACAAAGGCCTTCACAATAAAACTTGTTGCCCTCTACAAGAAAAAGGACCACGCTGCCTTCAGAAAACAGAACTGGGGGCTGGGGATTTAGCTCAGTGGCAAAGCGCCTGCCTGACAAGCGCAAGGTCGTGAGTTTGGTTCCCGGTACCGGAGAAAAACCAAAAAAAAAAAAAAAAAAAAAAAAAAAACAGAAAACAGAACTGATGGCCATAAAGAAATTTAGGCCCTGGGGAAATGCCTCAACAGGGACAGTACCTGCCTGGCAAACACAAGGTCCTGAGTTCGATTCCCGGTACAAAAAAAAAAAAGAAAAAGAAATTGAGGACTGGACAGACACTCCTTCAGGTGCCAGGATGTCCAGCAGTGTCCACACACCTGCCCTGACCATCCTCGGAGTTTTGACCCCACTCATTCCATACAGATTCCTTGAGATTATAAACCCCGTCCCCAAACTCGATAGTAACTGAATCCCTCCTCCAGACTAGCTGCTGCTACCACTCTGATTTCAGCCTGCCTGTACCTAAACAGTTAAATCCCGCCTTTTCCCCACACGAACCTTCTCTGGGTGTTTCCTCAGGTGCCACCTTTAACAATATGTAGCTTACCACTGCAGTGAAACTTGACAGTCTACCACATAACCCTGGAGAACATTTCCAATTTGTCAAAAATACAATTATAAAGAATGTTAAATGCCCCCTCATAATTTCTTGGTACTTTTGGTGTCTGTTGACTGAGAAAACACAAACTGTGGTGAAAAGAGTTCCTTCACCATTAATCTGTCTATCTATCTGACTACAGCTCTGTTTTTT